TAGATGGTAAAAATAAGTATAAATACATAATAAATATAAATGTATTTTTATATGAAATTCCTTCCCTAAGAACTCAAAATGTTTTTCAGATACTAATCAAGATCAGAATAGCTACAAGTGATTAGGAAGGTCAGTTAAATGCTTTGTCTGAGATTAAGGAAGAAGTCTATGGCACAGTAAGGAAGTCTTACTAGATTTCTTGCCGCAAAGACTTAAAACTATTCCTCTAAGAGATTGATAGCAATTGGTCTCCATGGAACCATGACACCATTTAATGAATCATGCAACAGGAAAAGCCTATCTCTGAAAAAAAATTCTTTCCTGTTTCAGTAGTATATTTGTAATACACAGTGACAGGAGAAGATCGGAAAAAGGGACAGTTCTCTTGAGTACATTGATTAATTAACATAGATTGCCTGAATTCAGTCCAAGAAAACTATGCCAAAGAGGAATCCTGAGCTTGGATCAGTCCCCCAAACACTTTGTCTGACAGCACTGAAGGAAGTCAGGAAGGCAGGTACGACATTGCCCTTTCTGAGTAAGGAGGCACTCAGTGCACATAGATCATGGGCCAAGGGACAGAAATACTGTTTACCAACTCAGGAAACGGGGATCAGAAGAACATAAATAGGAACACGATCAAAGCTAAGAATAATCATTTTGTCTGGAATAGGTGTTTTATCTGGTTTCCACAGACACATTGTTTCCTATTTGATTAGAGATGATTCCAAAGTGTAGGCTTGTGTCCAAATCTCGATTTGTTAAGCTTTAGAAGTGGTTAGAAGTGGGGTTTATTTCACAAAGGGTTCTTGCTAGTAGTAAAGCAATTAATAAAGCAAATTCTATGAGATTTGGACTGTTAAGAAAAACTGAATGCACTTTTTTTTATATTACAAACACTTTTTTGACTATAAAATACAATAGGCAACTTTTAAAAGTTAACACTGATGCTCAATAATGCAAATGTTAGGAATATTTTTGAGTTTTCTAAACCAGACATAAAATATATGATAATGGGAAAGGCTTGGGCAGGATTGCATCATAGCCATTAGCTTTTTCTATAAAATTGAAATGGGTAGATATCCATTATACTCCACATTGCAATTCAGAATGAATTACTCAGTGGTTCCTGGAAACCCACATGCTCCTGCTGTTTGGAAAAGTCCATTACTCTTTGGCAGAGGAGTTCAGGATTATTCCAGATGCAAAAGCTTCTTGAATTTTCATCCCTTCACTTAACTGTACTGCCTCTGCACCATTCAGCACCATTTGCAATCTGGCGCGCTATAAAACATTGCTCCTCTATCATTTTCTTGCCCTCAAAAGTACTTTTTGTGGTCTACATTTCTCATTTTCTTAAAAACGTGCTGTTCCTCTTCCAGATCTCCACTGAAAGGGCTAAGCACAATAGAGATGAGAGAAGAAATGCTAAGGTTAATCACAGAATCATGTCATGAGCCAAGTTGGAAGGGACCTCAGTAGTTCTCCCATCCAACCTCCTCCTGCTCAAAGCTGGGTCAGCTCTGAGCTCAAACCAGGTTGCTCAGAGCTCTATCCAGCAGTTTCTCGAGAGTTGGAACAACCTCTCTGAGCAACCTGCTTCACTGCCTGCCTGTTCTCAAGGCGAAAAAATTCCACCTTATATCCAGTCTCTTGTTTCAGTTTATGCCTATGGTCTCATTCTCCCACCATGCAACATTATGAAGAGTCTGTCTCTTTCTTCTCAGTGCCCTTCCTATCAGCCCTGGGGGGTGCAGTCAAAAGCCATACCTTCTTCAAGCTTAACAAGCCCTAGGTCCTCAGTCTCTCCTCATGGAGAGGCTCCAGTCCCCAACCACTGTGGGGGCCCTTCCTTCCCTGACCTAATGATCAGAGCCACAGCAGTCTCATGGTCCTGCAATGTGATGGATTAGTCCTGCAAAGAATGGTGAGTGCAGTCCTGTGCTGTCCTTCTGCAGCTCGAGTAGGTCAGTTCTAGAATGACATGAATAGGTTGAATGAAATATGTGGAAAAATACACTAATCAGCTCCCAGAGAAGCATGTTTTTATTAAAAGTAGTCTTATAGCCTTTCATATAGTCACATTTCAGTCAAACTGAATGAACTCCCCCTTTTGCACATATACCCTTGAGCCTAACAACTATCTTAGCAACAGCAGAGTATATATGCAAAGACAAGTTCTAGTGAATACTAGAAGCAAAAGAAAAATCAAAATACTATGTTGGTGTATCTCCTAAAAGCGATAGCTAGGTGCACACAGTTTGAAAAAAAAAAAAAAAAAGAATAGGTATATACAAAATATATATGTAAGAATGTAACCTCTTTGTACCACTGGGTACTTTAAGGTCTGCCTACCTTCAGTCATTGGCATAGTATATTTAAGGTTGGGAATTACAAAAAAAAATACACACACACACACACACATATAGGCAAAGAAGAAATCATTAACTAGGTTTGGAAGGAAACAAAATCAGTAAACACACAGGGAGTATTCAAAACATATTTAAGGGAAGGGCAGGGATATGAATCAACAAGTTCAATGTTAAAAATGTGGACAACATTAAAGTCGACGAAGAAATCCCTCAGAATATCAACAGAGGCAAAATCTACAAGTAAAAATTCATATAGAGATTGGAACCCACTTCCAAAGTGGGGTTATGTCTGTAGAAAGGACTACTCCAAACCAATATAATGGTTTGGCCAACCACGATCTTCAGAGCTGAAATCTGCCAGCATGCTCACACTCAGTAAATGTATGTCGTTGCAGTCACAACTTGGCAACACAAAGTCTGACCTCTGTCAAGAGCCTCTCAAGTGTGATGTCCAATTCAATTACTAAAAGACACATTAAAATCTGGCTTATATGGATAAGAAATAACAGCCACCCAGTTTATCATGGGAACATAGTCTCCTCAGTGTCTTCACACCGACGTTTTTTACTCTGTTCAACATTCCATTCCAACATTTACATTAATGTATTTATTAAGGGACCCTGAGCCAGAAACTGAGAGTTTAATAAAGCTGTTCTGTACCTAGTATTTGAATATAGCCACACTGAAAAGAAGTTGTTACTATTTTAGAGAGCACTGAGAAGTTGTTCTGGATCTGTTGGCATTCTTCACACTTTTCCCTGTACTCTTCAGACACATCTCTGACAAGGACAACTCCAGGATACTTCCACTATCTACCACAAACAGTAGCCAAACTCTTTATGCACTCTGATTTTGGGACAGAGTAACGTAGTTATTTTCTACCAATATCAATAGGCCCATTCTGCTCACACTGAATGAATATTCTTCACCCTGCACTCCCTTGGCTCTCCCATCCCTATCTTTCCATGCTAGGAAAGAAAGGAATTCTCCTTTTCCTGCTCAAATGTCCAATAATCATTTCAGCCATCTGCTTCAATACAACAAGCTCTTCATAGAAGCCCATCTAAATGGCAAACCATAAGAGATTAAGATGATTTATTTCAGTTCAGTGCAGTGTCACTGGTTTGGAGTTTTAATAAAATAAAAAGTAACTAAGGATTTGGGAAGTACTGTGGCTTACCTATGTAAAAACTCACTCTCTTGCCAATACTTTCTATCGCTGCTGACAGACATTAGAACATTCCTTTCATCTCCTTCCTCTTCTTGCAGTTTAACCTATCCCCTTAAGGAGTATTTGCTTTCTCCAAGATAGATTAGACATTATATGCAACATGGAAACCTTACACACTTTTTTTCTGCCATCTGCAAGGCTTTTTTACCCACTTCTTTAAAAAGAATTAAATCACTAGCCTTGTTAGTTTCCACTTTGGATAAATAAACCAGGATTACTTTTTTTGTTACAAGCTAAAACATAAGGATTACTATTTCCAGACATGTGCATCTAAATCAGAGAAGCATTTCTGGATCCAGTCACCCAAACTTCCAAGCCTGGTGAGACCAAATGTGGAATGCAAACTGTGATAAAGAGGCACACACATACACACACACAAAACACCCCCTCTCTTCATGCAAAAAAACATAATCTAATCTGGGATTGATTTCTTTCAAATAATTCTTTCTCTATCCCAGTGTGATTCCAGGATGTGCAAATTAAGATAAATTTTATGGGTCAAATTCTTCTTACCACTACATGTGCTCAAGTCAACCAAAATTGATGACAACTGGATGCTGTGTCAGAGGGTGGAATTTGGCACAGAAAGTCACTATGTAAGGAGAAGATGTTTTAAAAATAAAAACGACGTGGTGCTCTGAATGCAGGAGGAAATAATTCTGCATGTGGCTTGGGAGAAAGAAGAAAGAGGCAGAAAAAAGTTGACCAGATAGCTTAGAGAGAATCAGGTATGGCTCAGTGCTCAAAACAGAGCCAAATGTGAGGCTGTAAATGAGAATTTTCGTAACAGCTCTGGATAAACCTACGTCCATTTCATCACCAACTCCAAGTAAAGCTACACCAGTTCTAAGCCCTGATCTAAGTGTAAAAGAGGAGAGACTGGCTTATTACTTCTGTGTTCTTCAGAAATTCAAAACAGCTACTTAAGGTTACATCACTGCAGAAAATTTTATCTCACTAAAAAGAAAATACTGCGAAGAACCCTTCAGTTCCCTTCTCTTCCTTCTCTTTCTTCTTTTTCTATTTTTACAACAGAGATGTCCCTAGAAGAAGTCAGTGTAACTTTCAAAACAGACCTAAATCAAAAACAGATACACATATTCATGTAGATGATTTAGCAGTAATATTTCTATCAGTGGGAGTTTGCAAATATTATCAAATCCATGTTCATGTTTTGTGACAACTGACCGATGAAAAGCAGAAGCTATTCCTCTGCACATTTTAACCCATTTTTCTGCTTCTGAATGAATATGAGCACAAATGTCTTCCTGGTTAAACTTTTGTTCATTGGAGTGAAAAGTGAAGATGTGTCATGTCCTCAGCTAAGTTCCAGAACTACTCAGAATGTCATCCAGCATTTAGTTTCAAGTTCCACTAAAAGTAAATAAATATCTAACCTGGAACAGCTATCCTCCCAGCTGTTGGATGATTCATTTCCATGACAAGTCCATTATGCAGCACCTACAAAATAAAATAGGTAAGCAAAAAATATAAGCAGTTTTTACATATAAGAGGAAAACAAGAGAACTTTTTTTTTTAAATAACGTAAGTAATTTGCTTTCTTTGCAAAATGAAATTCCTGATGTTTGACATCTACTCCCTACTTAGGAATATAAATAGATGCCTTTACACGGTTAGCATATCTCTAAGCTCCCCAGTCAACAGCAAACACAATTAAACTACAAGCATGTCATGTTTTCAAACCACAGACAATTGGTACCAACATGGAGGAACAGTTAAAATCTTCATCCACTTTCATTTTTAATCTGCAATATGATTTTCAAGGTCTAGATTTAGCTTATGTTCTCTAATTTTCTTCACTGTTAATCAGCTGTTTTTGAACATGCAATGGATCACAGTATGCAGTGTTTTCCTAGTAGGTTTTATGAACATTTGGAAAGACAGTAGAATTTTGATATTATTTCTGTTCTTTTGAATGGGTTTGCCATAACTCAGCACTGGATATCTCCGTAGGATGATTATTTATCATAATTTCCTTTTTTGTCTTTTTTTTTTCTTATTATCCTTAACCAGAAAGCATATGTATAATGCAACATTCTAAAGTAACGCAGCAAAAGCTAATTCATGGCTATTCTTAGTGAGCTGTGCTCTTCCAAATTCAGGATCCAAAGTCAATATGCATTTTTTTTTGGTTTCCTTATCTAATTATTCTGTCATCCATCTGACACTGTTATCTTTATCACATAATCTGTTTTTTTCATTTGGTTTTCTCCTCTTTTCTTTTGCTGAAGTATCATATACAGATCAAAAGCCTCCCATTAGCTAATTATTTTTATTTCCAAATTACAACACCTTGCCAATTGTAACAGGCACAGGAACAGAAGAGGGGAAAATGACTCAAAAGCCATTGCCTATCGTACCTACCTAATCATCTAGCATCATGAAGAAGGGTAGCTATCCAAACCACTAATGACAAGCATTGGTCTAATTATTCTTGAAAATTTCCTGTAATGATAAGACAATTTTCCTATGTAGTTTTTGTCCGTATTTTCTATTCTTATCATTAGAAATTCTTCTCCTAATACATAATCTAAACATCTTTCCTTTATATTAAACATCCTTCTTCTTGTCTTTTCCCTAACTGGACAGAGAAAACTGATCACTAGCATCTTTATAACATTCTTTTACATTCTGGAAGATTGTAATCACATCCTCCCTCAGTCTGTTCTTTTCTAGACTAAACAAATCTAATTCCTTTAACCATTCTTTGCAGGTCAAATTTTATGAACCTTTTATCTGTATAGAAGAGCATGCTTAAGAAAATCCCATTGCTGAACAGGTGGTGTCAAAAGGTCAGGTCAGCTTTCTCTTGGCTTTTGGGGTGAGTCTCTTTAACCGACATTTAGAAATTCAGATATTTCTGATAAAAGATGCTGATGGAGGAAGGTCTGGCACTGTACCAAATCATTTGTTCTATTTCCGTTTTAGAAGAACAAAGCCAAGTTTGGTAGACAGTCAACTGGGACATTCAGATTTTTTTTTTTCTAACTGACAGAATAGGAAAATATAATTGCTTGTCTTAACTTGTTTAGAAAATTTCCAGTTATGCTCTTTACTCAGTCTTGAAACTCTGGCTTTCTTTATCCATAACTTATTTATATGGAGCTCCCTTGTCTATTTTATTATTTAACTATTAGTTAATTACAACTCACATGCAAGAAAATACACATATCAGAACTGGAAACCAATAGGAAACTCAGGTGCTATGCACTTCTTTAGATGACAAATTAAAGGCTAAAAGTGACAAGGTTTGGTTAAAGAAAGAAAAACAGATTCTCTGAGAACTAATCAGGTTTCCACAGTATTCATGACTTTGTAGGTTTTGCGTCTCTAAATTTTATGCTGATAGTGCGGACTTATCTGCATATATCAAATCTCTTCTTTCCTTTTCTTTACAGAATGAGCCAAGAAACAACTTCAGTATCTTTAATCTAGAGGATCATCATTCAAACTTCTGTTTTCTTTTTAAAATAATTGATACAATCAAAATTCAGTTCCATCTTCATGTAAGAATGCTGTTGATTTTTCTTCTCGGATTCATTGTTTTGTCCAATGCGCTGAAATTCCTATTACTGTTATGTTTATTTTCCACAGCTAATAATTCTATACCAGTCCATCTTTTCTTTGGACAGATTCAACGCTTATAATTAACCCCCAAGCAATAAATCTGGTCACTGACTGATTTTCCTCCCCTCCCGATATCAGCAGTATTATTTCAAAGAACCATGCAATTTCCTGGTTTGTGTGTTTTATTATTAGGATTCTCAAAAAAAAAAAAAGAGAGAAAAAAAAAGGAAAAAAAAGAATAAATCTTCACTCTTCCTCCTGTGTGTTCTAAGAGTACTGAAGGAAACACATATGACTACTGCATTCTAGCCGTTGGGAGAAGGCAATAATTACATTCATTATCATCAAAGACAAGGAAAGTTTGGAGAAATATTGAGATGGGAATTGAATGCCTTCTCCTCCATTATCTTTTACTCCACAAATGACCATGACTCTTCTGATGTGATAGAGCCCTCCATCGCCTTTGTATTCACCTTAGCTCAAGACAAGGAACTAATCAATCAAAATCATCCTATAAAGATGGTGGCCATCAGTGTTCCATTATTTTTTAATTATTTATTTTCCATATAATTCACTATCCAGGCCAGAAATGTTCTATTACTGCATTGTCTATTACCTTTGGAGATTTAGTGACTCAGATTAGTGTTTGGGTGGTGTTCTACACTCATTAGAATTAAATTATTTTATGGGACTCAGAAGTAAAGTCTACTGTCTTCCAGTAATAACCTTCTCATGCTATTTCATTCAAATCAAAAAACAACTGTTTTCTAAATTAAAGTAGAAATCTCTTTTGTCTGTCTACAGGTTAATAAAATGAAAACCTACTTGCACTGTTTTTAAGCTTATTGTCAATTACAGCCCTGCTTTGTTGCACTGCAATATGTTAAAGCAGGACTTCTTTATTTCTGCTCATTTAGAACTATTTACGGCTTTCCTCCTGACTCTTAGCAGGAAGGAAAAGTCTTATTTTCAAAAAAAAAAAAGTTATAAAACAGCAAATAGTCAAAAAACTTCTGCATCCTTCAGACTTCAGTGAAAGATAGGGCTTCTCTTAATTGCGTCATGTGTTAGCACAATTCCTCCATCCACATTTTTGCTACTTTTTTTTTCTACTCCTCTGTATATATATAATTCAAGCATCAATTTCTATAACTCTACTTTGGGACAGACCTGCATATGTGGTCGGTGTCAGACTTGCCCATGTTAAGAAATGAAAGTGTAGAAAAAAAAATCAGAAGCTAGTACATTTTAATATTACTTAGCAAGTATAGATTATTGCACGATTACTCAAACTACAACAAATAGAACAAATGATATGAATTTGTATTTTACCATCAGAGAATAAAAGAATTTAATTACAATTTTATTTCAATAGTATTTTCCCAATGTTATAGGAAAGTAAGCCCATACAGATTTTAGACAAAGATATTTTACTATTTTATTTGTGCAATGTAAAACAAGAGTAATTTAATATATTTCATCATATGTATTCTCAGTTGTTTCATTGTTTCCTCTTAGCTTGTCATGTGAACAACTATGGGGGATACTTATATCAGCTGCTAGGAAGCTCAAAGTAATCCAGGGATAATAACCTTAAAGATTAATCTTGCAATTTTCCTCAATGTTATTATGGACTATAAGTTAAAAAGTAGCTAAAATATTTATAACAGGCAGAGTTAAAATCCCTTAACTATCTGTTTTCATATGGAGAATCAAATAACTAAATAACTATTTCTTGTATTCTCACCTTGTTCAAAACAATTACTTCAATTGACATTACTAGCAAGCATGTTCATTTTAATACATTTATTTTTGTTGTTCAATTAAAAATTAACTGATATACAAGGCAGAAAAACTAAGTTTGAAAGAAATTTAATTATGAAATAAGACAGAACATGGTCACAGAAAATTTAATCTTCAGGCAAACGACTTGTAAAGTTCACAATCTAGATGAAAATAGGGACTTTTACCTCTTGGGAGTTAAGACACTTCCTTTAAAAGATCCTATAGTACACACAGTAGTGAAGGACACTTTTTCAACTTTCACAGATCATCCAACAGAAAAATAAAACTTTTATTCTGCTATGTCTGCATCATTGCTCCTTAAGATCCATAAGGCATACAGACAATCAATCCAATAGTGGTTTCCTTTGGGATACATGAATGTGTATCTATATATTTATATATTTAAAGCACAGTTGATAAACAGTAAATTTAACAGTAAATTAACAGTAAACAGCAATTAACAATAAAAGCATGCAGTTCATTTAACAAGCATTCACCTTCCTCTCGTCCTTTCAAAAAGAATAGCTCTCTTACCTACAGTACCCCCCAAATCCTTTAGGACTGATATAGCGGTACAAAGGGCAGGTAAGAGAATATCAGAAACATTGTTTCTATTTTTTCACACAGGTAGCAATGTTTGGCCACCTAGCAAACATATGGCAAATTCTGTAATTATGATAAGGTTTATTTTACATCTTATCAGTTCCTTGCAACTGTAATGTTAAGTGCTTATGCATGTAACTGATTATTCATGGCAACATGACTTCCCTCAGGCCTACTATCAAGGTTTTCCAGTGCATTCTACTTGCTTTCTTTTAAAAGTCTCCATGCATCCCAAATCCACACTTGCACAGATAGCACTCACACTGTCATCTAAAGTTTACCAGAAGGGATTTTCAGGGCCACAAAGGAAATGATGCAACCATCTTTTCCATATTTCTGTAGCCACAAAATAGCTGGCTGTTGGTAAGTGTAATTACCACTCATGCCTCCCAAAGCCACAAGAAAATAATAATGTTGTTTTTCTTGTATATGCTGAACAGAGAGCCATGACCATAATCACCCACTAAACAAGCAACAATGCCTGT